AAATATAATTACTTGGAAAGAATTTACTTATAAATTTATGATCAAGTAGATAATTAAACAGAAAAGCTGCAATGTTGTTACATCATTAAAGTTAGATTCTTAACATCTTTAGACTGTAATATAATTTCAAGCAGCGCATTATATTGCAGTAAGAATGTATATAAGTTTATTCTATTAAAGTGTTTGAGTTGAGGAAAATTAGTTTCATGTTATTTATAAAAGTTTTAAGAGGGATAATTAGATGGGTAGATATATTAAATTACGATAGAGGCATGAAGTTAAAAAAGTTTAATTGCAGTATGAATATATATAACCGTGTGTGCCATAGTATTAGTGATCATCCTCCTGCAAAACGGCTTCACCAGATATTAATCAATTTTAATATTCAAATTTAGGAGAACTAAGCATAGGCTACCATTTATTTTACCACTAAGGGTTTGCCAGTACTGAAATAACTTTTGATCAATTTACCTTATTTTTTATAATTTGTAATTAAAAATACGTATAACTCTGGATTATTACTTTTAGGACACAAATGCCTATTTTATAATTGTCATAATAATTATATCATCTTTTGTTCCGTTCGATATCAGATTAATTATCGCCTTTTTTAAACGTAGAGAATGCAATACCAGTATAACAGTTTACAAAAATACCGACATTTCTAGTATTAAAACATAAAAGACAGTTGATACCTGTTACATTTGGAGTTTGAATTTTTCAGAACCATTTAAACTTTAAATCTCATAGATTAAAACAAATGTCCTTTTAGGTCATTCTTTTGTATAGACAATTGTCAAATAATTATCTCGACGTGTCATTCAACAAAATATTTATTGCTTTCCAAAGGCATTCATAGGTTGTCTCAGTAGATATATATATATATATATATATATATATATATATATATATATATATATATATATATATATATATATATATATATGTGTGTGTGTGTGTGTGTGTGTGTGTGTGTTTAACGATATATTGCTTTAATTTTTCCATTTAATTCTATTATCTTCTATTTTCAGTGTCACATTAAACTTTTTATTTGCTATATAAAACGAAGCGTATACAATTTTATTATACTAAATTTAATGTTGCTTCATTCATGTCAAATCAAGATAAAAAATAGCTCACATTACATTTGACGTAAATAGTAAGTTTAATAGATGTTTGTACTATTTAATGCAACTTTATAGTTTTTGAAATAAATGTTCATAGATTTTAAGTAGTAGCTCACACTATCTGTTGAATGTGATATAGAAATAGTTCCAATTATTCGCAATTTTTTTATTTTTATTAATAACTTTTACAACAGTTGCGGGATGGATAAGTAGAACATTTAAAAAAACGGTAAAAAGCTGAAGACGTTAATAAAAATGAAAATCATTTGACTATTGCCAGTGATTAGTCGAAGAACCTTATGCAGTAAATCAGAGAATAAATGATTATTAGTATTGAGGTTCGTGAGATAAAAATATTCTATTTTTGATTGCTCAATTTGTTGCATATTCATAAAGAACAGTATATTTTTATATGAAGTATATGTTTTATTTTCTTTAAAATACTGTATTTCTATGCAAATTTGATGTCTTTATGTAGAATTTAATTTCACTAGCAGTTTTTAGTAAAATAGGATATTACAGTAATCTGTTTCCGCCATATCTTCGGTATATATTTTCAATCAAAATAACTCTAATGTTATGCACATTATACAGAAAATCCAATATCTTCCTGATCCTAGTTTAAGCATTTATTTAACAAAGCCAGGAGAATGCATTATGATATGCACGGGTAACGCGGGTATAAAGTAACCTTGCAACACGAGATGGGTATGTAGCCCGACACGAAACATCTTACATATTATATTGCGAACGAAATTGACTTTCTTCTTTATTCAATCTACAGTAATTCTGTTTGGTTTCTTTTCAGAGCAATATATTTCTGTATTTTGAATTAATAAACAACTTCTCAATCTTTTAGAGTTTTTACGTAACCATATTACTATCGTTCCTTCCTACATCCGTCTATCTCTAACGCCATTGGATAAGACGATGCTATATATATATATATATATATATATATATATATATATATATATATATATATCGTACTTGTATGTTTACATTTATAATGTGACGTAATAAAATTTCAAATATGAATATTTTATTTTGGAACACTTAACAGTTCTGTTATTCGAGGTTTTGCTATTTTTTGACCAGCAATAACTTTGTTAATTTACAAGTTAGCTGGAAGAAAAACAACACGGTTATTTTAAAATTTATCAGCGTGGACTTAGGGAAATACTATCCTCAAAAACGATGGATTCGTCAAAAAATGAAATCATACAGTAAAGGCCGAGAGTCACAACCTTCTACACCCCCAGGATAGATAAAAACACCAAAATACTTTACAAAAGCTATTAATCCGATTATTATACAAAACAACATAATTAGACAAAGCTTATGAATATTATATAACAATATTACAAAACATTTTTTTTAAAACAAAATAACAAGAAATCTTTGTAAAATCTTATTTTTCTTACATTTAATTTCACTTTCTCTTTCGTATTTTGACTTCTTGTTAGTTGAGTTAGATTTTTCTGTCTGTTTTCTGTTTAATCTTTTCTCGAAAAGGACAAGAAATACATGTTAAAACCGTACCCCAAAATTTGTCACAACCGTACCCAACGCACACCTGTGAAAACAAATCATCATTATAACTGAGCTAAATTATCTAAGCACAAATTAATCGCTGGTAATTATCTACTAAGGTTCAACTTACATCAAAATAACAAAGTGATCTGTCTGTATACAAGTAATAACTTACAGTTATCATTAAAAGAAATCGAACATGAAAAATTACTTTTGACTCCTTAAAAGTAATGCGGTCTATTCGAACAAACAAACTTAATCTTTCTCCCTTTCGACCATATCTTTACAATAGTAGTTTAGCTGTTATAAGAACTGTCGATACTGTGGCTTGGCACAACCGTTTCTAGTATTTCCTACTATTTTTAATTATTTTAGATTTATTTCATTATTTTGAGGCCAAGATATTCGATTAAATTTAACGGATAGTTGCTCTAGTATAAAATTACACAATCAAATCAATTAATCTTATAAACTAACTTTCAAAGTTGTTTCTGTTTTGAACTTTACCTTTAACCGAGAATATATTGTTTCCAGGAGTTTGGAAATGATTCTACATGCGTTTAAATGCAACGCAGGAGGTAAGCAATTAATAGATATATGTAGAATTATATTTAAATAGAATAACGCTAGGTGTATTTATATCTGTTTGCAGTAGTTCTGAATTACTACTTATTCTTATTGGCTTCTACTCTAGAAAGTTTTAATCTTGAAAGTTATTTAAAAAAAAAGTTTACATAAATAAGTTACTTATAAAACATCAAGCAAACTAGTTTATTTCCTTCCTACTAGTTTATTTGAACGTGGAATTAAATTTTTTATTAGTTGTCTATCTGTATTATTGTACATATTTACAAAAGCTCCGACAAAAAGTCAACTCTTTTTACTAGAAAATCCAATTCCCTAATTTTGTTTTACTGGTGTTTCAAGTCAATCTGAATCGTTTAACACAAAAAATGCAGAAAGTTTGTGTGTGTGAGTGTATTCTCTAAAATTGCCGTATTCATTTGATTTTTTATAGTCATTTATATTATAATTAATTATATTAGTAATTATACTAAAATTGTGATGATTAATACAACTGTAATAAGTTCAATTATGCAAACGACATCATTTATAATAAGTTGCTCAAGTTAGGGATTTGTCAGCATTGCCCGGTACTTCGCAATTAACGATAAAATAGTTGCGTCTATTACAACTATACTGTATTAAAATCTTAGAAAGATTTCAATTTTTGAAGGTCAAGTCAATTAAATAGTTTAATATATGGCATTTTATGCAATTTGCATTAAGAAAATATGCCCCTAGTTATGTTTGTTAACTTTCAAAAAAAAAATTGAAAATGAATTTTTTTCCATATCTTTACGTTTCAAGAACTACTGAACATTTTGGCATACTTAAAAATATTGACGTTTGTGTGTGTGCAAATACAATTTTTTGTCGACAATTTTGAGAGCACGGATCAACCGAACGATTCAATTAAACATTTTACTTGAATTGACTGAATGGAAAATCGGCTAAATTTTTGGGAATGCAGGTCCAGCGGTTCCGTAGATGAAATAAAAGAAGTTAAAAAAATGGCACTTGGCGGTCAAAAATGGTCATTAGACGTATGCACATGAAATTGTCAGATATTTTATAGAGATTTTATTAAAATATATATATTGTGGTTTTATTCTTATGCTTTCCGTACCAATATTTATAATGTTTAACTGTTAGACTACGACGTAGCTCTAACGTGCTTCTATATTTCGTCTCTAAAACAGATACGCTTCTAAAAATTCGAAATTATTGAAAAGAAGTTTATTTTTCAAAGTTTTCCAAAAAAATTAAATTGTTCAAATGTGTTCGAAATTTAAAAAAAAAAATGTTACAAAAAATAAAAATATTTTGAAGCTTTTATAAAATTCATAATTTTCGGTACGGGAAGTTTCAGAAATTTTCCTTGAAGTACGATGCCGTGCGCAAATTGTTACAAAAAATATAAATATTTTAAAGCTTTTATAAAATTCATAATTTTTGGTACTGGAAGTTTCAGCAATTTTCCTTTAAGTACGCTGCCATGTGAAAAATGTTACAAAAAATAAAAATATTTCGAAGCTTTTATAAAATTTATAATTTTCGGTACGGAAAGTTTCAGAAATTTTTCTTGAAGTACGATGCCATGTGAAAAATTATACGAAAAATAAAAATATTTTGAAGCTTTTATAAAATTCATAATTATCGGTACGGGAAGTTTCAGCAATTTTCCTTGAGGTACAATACCATGCACCATGAGAGCAGTTACTTTAATTATTGGTTTAGAGATAAGAATGATAAAAATAAATTAATCCAACTTCTTACCTGCGTATGTGAATAAAACATCGAGAAATTGCTGACGATGACCGGCACCGGCAACGCAATGGTGAGCACGCCAGCCAGCGCACACAAAGCTCCCACGAACATACCGACGTAGGTTTTCGGAGCCATGTCCCCGTAACCGACTGTGGTCATTGTCACAATAGCCCACCATAGGCCGAGTGGAATGCTCTTGAACTGGTTGTCCGGGTTGTCCTGAAAGCAAACGAAGTAGAGATGATCAATTACGAGCTAATTTAGTTAACATTGGGTTCCGTACTAATCTCTATACAATACACCTAATTAATATAGATAATCGCAAAGTTAAATTTTTTTGTTGTGTAAATAAACTAGAATAAATATTAGATTTTTCAATTTTGTGTTTTTAAATTATAATATATATATATATATATATATATATATATATATAGGGCCGGTCCTGCCTTGAATGCAATGCATGCAAAAATGCGGGCGCATGCCCTAGGGGGCGCCAAAACGAGGTTCGGAAATGAAATTTATAATAAATTATTTATATATATTTTTTTTAAATATAAAATCTAGAATACTTAATAGATTATATTAAACAATCCAACTTAACTATGAGTCAGAAAAAGCATATTCAGTTTTCAATATCAATCTATAATATATGATATCAATAGAAACAATTAACCAAATAATAACTCTGCAAATTTGTAAATTATTATTCTGCTTATTGTATAATGTATGTTTGTAATTCATACATTACAAAACAAACTTTTAAACTTTTTTTTCTTTTAAAGTTAACGTGGAATCTAAAAAGAAAATATTTAGTGTTCAATCAAATATTTAGTGTTAAATTAATTATTGGGCGTTATTGGTGAAAAATGGCGAGCTGATTTAGTTGAAATGGAACTTGAACTTATTAAAGAAATATGTACTAATTATATTAGAGAAAATAGAAAATGGAGAGGTAGTGCTTAAAAAATGGCTTGTTTATTCCGAAAAATTGAATTCTAACTTTTGTTTTTGTTGTAAGTGTTTCACATCTGATGAACTTTGAACGTTGAAGACATGCGTGGTTAAGTTTATGGAGCAAATATGAAAAATGGAAGCAAAATGTACATAGGAATAAAAATCTTTAAGCTTTTTTTATATATAATATAATTATTAACTATGCAGAAATAATACAGATACAATAATAATTTGTTTCAGTATAGTTAAGGGAATATGTAATTTCTTTGCATCGTTTACTAATCTTTGGACAATACTTAAAAATACGTTAAAAGTTTAACTTTAAAACAACAATCTGATACTTTGAATCTGATGGGAAAGTAAAGCTGAATACAATTCGGTCCTTACGATATCAATAAGGAGAAGTTTACGATGCAATTTTGGATATTGTAAATAATGAAAAAATACAAATGTTATGTTTAAAAATTAAAGACTATTCTTTTTTTCGCTCTTTTTGCGTGATTTGCTCTATAAAATAAATCGCATAATATTGGGTTTCAAAACCCAAATATTAATTTTACACCTACGTTAGAAATAATTGATAATTTAAAAATATTTGATTATGATCAACCCGCGAATCGCCTCGATTTTCTAAATAAATTTAAAATCAATGTATTTTATACGCTTTTAGATTACATCTAAATTTTTGTGTACTAAAGTGTGTGTACAAAAATCCAGAATGATTAAAAAATAATTTAACTAGCTGTAAGTGGAATTCTGTCTTAAGGCAATTAGGGCATCGTGCCTTAAGGCAAATTGCTGGAACTTCCCGTACCAAAAATTATTATTTTTTTTTAAAACGATTAACATTTTTGAAAAAAAATTACTTTGAAAAAAAAAGATTTTTGAGAAACTATAAATTGGACAAAAAATTAGTTTTTTTTGGAAAAAAAAAAAATTAAAAAAAATTTTTTTTTTGAAAAAAAATTTTTTTTTCTTTATTTTGAGTTATTGTGGAAGATCTGAACTTTTTTTTCAAAGCATTCGTACTGCTTTAACTACATAGGGACAAAATATAAAGCGCGTAAGCGCCGCGTCGCTGTCTAACGCATAAGCATTCGTACGGAACCAATAGGAATGTTAACAAAATGTATACTTATTGTTAAAATCTCTATAAAATGTCTGATAATTTGATGTGCATATGTCTAATGATCATTTTTGACCGCCAAATGGCTCATTTTTTTTACTTTTTCCTCTATATCTCCGAAACCGCTGGACCTACCTTCATGAAAGTTATATCGATTCTTCATCTTGTCAATACAAATAAAATGTTTTTTGAATTATTAAAATCGGACGCTCCGTTCTCTTAAAAACTGAGTTACCGTTTTCGGAACTTTTTGCCCCGTATCTTCGGAACGGCTTGACCTGCCTTTGCCAAAAACTAATCAGCACGTCTCCTTATCAATACGGATCGAATGTTTTTTGAATTATTCAAATCGGTTGATCCGTGTTCCCGAAATCGTCGACGAAAATTTGTATCCGCACATACATACACACACATACATACATACATACACACACACACATACACACACACACACACACACACACATACATCCATTTTTTCTAAGGTATGCCAAAATGTTCAGAAACCTCTGAAACGTAAAGATATATAAAAATTTTCATTTTCGATTTTTTTGCGATTACTATAACTTGCCCTACGGGAAGTTAAAAATTTAAAAATTAATTAATTTTTCTTTGCCTTTCTCTTTCGTAATTTATATTAGTTAAGTTATATTTTTTCAGTTGTTCAAATTTCATCCGAAAAGGACAAGAAATACATGTCACAACTGTACTCACAAAATTTGCTCAACCTTACCCAATGCACGCATCTGAAACCAAATCATCGATATAACTGAGTTGAATTAAAATAATACCGACTAAGATGGTCCAGGCCGTTTCTTTGCGATAATATTATCAATAGATGAAAATTAAAAGATCTTATATTTGAATGATATTTAAGATAGTTTTTGGATAGCTTTACTTTTGTTACGGCCAAAATTTTCCGGAACCCTAAATTAATTATAAAAACCTTCTTATAAACTATGAATACAAAATTATCCAAGGGTTAAATTTGATATTTAAAACTTTGAAAACTTGATCTTACAGTGACTCTATTTTTATTGATTTATTTTTTTATATAATGTAACAGGCCGCATCCGTCCCAACTGCTCTAAGGCATTTTCGCAATTTGCGTAGAACATTTCTCATCATTCGAATAAAAACATGACTCTAGGGTTGCTGCTTGTTGCTAATATTTTTGGATTTGATTTGTTTTTTTTTTTCAAGAGCAACAATTTGATTTGTTTTTTTTTCAAGGGGAAAAATGAATAAAACTTGCAAAAAAAGTATACTACGATAGAGATAGCAACCTTCAAGATGTTTTATAATAAACAAATGCTCTCATTTTGCATATATACACGGTGTTACAAACCTTGACGTCAAACCAAAATGGGATACAAGTATTGACCATAACTGTACCCGAAAAAATATAAACTAGTGGGACCCATTTCATCGTGCCTTAAGGCAAATTGCTGGAACTTCCCGTACCAAAAATTATTTTTTTTTAATAAGATTAACATCTTTGAAAAAAATTCACTCTGAAAAAAATATATTTTTTAGAAACTACACATTTTTGACAAAAATCTATTTTTTTTGAAAAAAAAAAAAATTTTGAAAAAAAAAAAATTATTTTGAATTATTTTGTAAATTCAGAACCTTTTTTCAAAGCAATCGTACTGCTTTAACTAGAGACGAAATATCAAAGCGCGTGAGCGCCGCGTCGCCGTCTTACGGATATACATTGGTACGGACCCCATAGGAATGTAAACAAAATTTATACTTATTGTTGAAATCTCTTATGTCTAATGACCATTTTTGACCGCCAAATGGCATTTTTTTTAACTTTTTTTACTAGATCTCTGAAACCGCCAGACGTGCCTTCGTGAAAATTTGATCAGATCTACATCTTATTAATACAAGCAAAATATTTTTTGAATTATTCAAATCGGACGCTCCGTTCTCATAAAAACTGAGTTACCGTTTTTGGCACTTTTTGCCCCATATCTTCGGAACGGCTAGAACTACCTTTGCCAAAAACTAATCAGCACGTCTCCTTATCAATACGAATCGAATGTTTTTTTTGAATTATTCAAATCGCTTCATCCGTGTTCGCGAAATCATCGACGAAAATTTGTATCCGAACACACACATACACGCACACACACACACATACATCCATTTTTTCTAAGGTATGCCAAAGTGTTCAGAAGGTTTTGAAACGTAAAGATATATACAAATTTTCCTTTTCGTTTTTTTTGCGATTACTATAACTTGCCATACGGGAATTTAATAATATCTCACGTTGATTGGAAGTCATGAGCTTTTAACTGCAACCTAGAACTTTGGTTGAAATGTCACCATTTTTGCTTATTGGTTAATTTTTATTAACTTAAACTAAAAGCCACGTTGTTTTTGTAAAAATCTATTAATTCATTTTCAAGACCAATATTGGCAAGACCAATATTAGCCTGACCATCGGGCCAATATTGATCTTGCCAAGATCGATCTGGTCTTACTTATTTTTTTCAAATATCAAAGTTTTGGCAATATGGAATATCTCTTTTCTCAAGAACTTGATGAATCAACAAATGGAGAAAGTAGGGCTGCACCCTACTGATTGTGATAACTTTTTAGTATTATCAATATTTGCTGTTATATTATAATTTAATATAATTGGACACAGACGGACTCACACATACACACACACAGATATATGTATATATATATATATATATATATATATAATTGCACTAACTAAAAGAAATGTTACCTGTAGTTTTTCAGCATAATACACCAGACTAGCAAAAACGACGATGCCAAGAACCAAGAAAAAGACGAGTAATGTCAATTCCTTGGCCGACGCCTTGAAAGTGTGTATCAGTATCCGCAATCCAGGAGAATGCCTGGTCAGCTTGAATAATCTTAATATTCTAACTATGGAAAATGCTTCTAATAGACCCGCCCGCTCGCCCATGCGCTGCGCGACGTCCGTATAAAAACTTAATGTGGCCACTAAATCTATCACGTTTACTGGCGACTTGATAAAAGCAAAAAATTTGGGTGCGACCTGAAATTAGAAATTACACAGTCATTCCTTTAACGATTTATAGCCATATTTATGCGATGGTAGTCGAAATCAAATTGCATTTCCATGAAGTTTAAATATTTATATCGCAATAATGCACAGCTAATGTTTTCACAACGATTGTATAATAAATGCGGTGTACAAACAGAGCACAGATTTTAATATAAAGCTCAAATATTTGTTTTGTCATTTGCGAATGATATAGTATTTAGGTGATTATAATGGAAATAAATATGCACGGTGCAATATATATCAGAAAACACACACACACACACACACACATATATATATATATATATATATATATATATATATATATATATATATATATATATATATATATTATATATATATACGATATATATATATATATATATATATATATATATAATATAGGATAGAACGGGGCTTGAAGATCCGAAGATAAAAAGGTCCAACACCGATATTTCAAAAACCAGTAAATCTAGGGTTTTAACAACGATTTTTGCAAGTAGTAGGAAAAAGATTTATAAAAAGCCATCACATTGGTTTTTACGACGTTGCTGCTAAGAGATAAACAGCGTGTGAAAATCCATATCAGATGTGTAAAAATTCATATCAAAAGTATTTTCTTCAGTTGTTAGTTCTGTTTTTTGTTTTGAGCCACTGTTGCTTTGTTTACGTTGATATAATTCGTGCATACATTATTTGTTTTATAAGATGAATTATTATTTCTAAGTTAGATTCAACAGTTTTTTTATATAAACTCTATAAGAGCTTACACGTAATTGAGGTAAACAACTGAATATTTACCCTAGCAAGGTGTAAACAATAAAAAATAGTAAATAAAAAGCATATTAAATAAAAAAGCTATCTTACAAGAGATGAATTAAATAAATAGTTATTTCAACTAAGGTGATGAATATTTGTGATAAAATACCAGATTAAGCTTATTTACAGAGTTTTCTCTTTAAAAAATGTATCCATGAAATCTATATTTTCATTGGTTGAAAAAAGTAGCTATTATTTTGTAAATTTTTTCTAAATTAAAATAAGACATTGACCGTCCGAAAACAGCAAAAAAACTCATTTCTATAATGATAAATTGGCTGGGAGTTTACTGAACATAGTCAAATAGCTTTTTTTTTGCTGCGTGTTATTTGTTGTCATTATTCGTGTGGTTTTCAAATTATTGTTCAAAGTCAAATTGGACCTTTGTGCCCCGCCCTACCATATATACACACACATATATATATATATATATATATATATATATATATATAAACGAGAGTAAAAAACAAAAAATCAAGAAACAAATATAATTAACTTAGATACAGAATTACAGATATAATGGCATATAAATTAACGTCCTTCTCGTAAATATTTAAGAGGCTTTTTCAACAAAATTATTCAAAGCATACTGGTTGGTGCCGAATATGAAAATATTATTCTATACTAATATACATAGATACATTTTCATGATGATATGATAAACTCCAAAATTAATTTTTTTTTTGTAAAACTTCACAAAAGTCTTCAAAATTGCATAGTTTTATGATGTATTAAACATATTGCTAGAATATATTGTTCATTTTTTTTCTGTTGGAGATCTAATAAACAAAGAAAATGTACATGCTTAAATAAATTAATAAAAAAATTTAGAGAAAGTTATTATTAATAAAAAGAATATAACAATCTGTACTTTATACTTACCACTGTCCTAACAGCTAATTCGAATGTAAACCAAATATTACAAACTAATTCCACGTAAAAAAATGCTTCGTGCGGTTGCCCATAATTTTCTTGCCAATCGTCATCCTCATATCGATATCTGAAACCAATGTAGGCAAAATTCAATTAGATAAACTAATCACATAAATTATTTTGTCGTTTTCACAAACTTTTAAAAAATAAAATCGAATGCTTGAAAAAAAAGTATGCATCGAACATAAATCTTTTTAAATGTAATTCTCATGCATGGTGACTAAACAAAATAATTTGTATTTGCGTTACAGAAAAAATTGCACGTTATCTACTGTTAGTATAAATATATAAGAAGTTCTACTATTTATTTTACCATTATTTTAAACATCATTCTAATAAATTAATGGGATTTTGAAGGGTCTTAATTTGTAATTAGTTTTATAGTGCTTTCAATTACTAACCGTACTAAGGAGAGAGAAAATTATTAAACGCTCGCCGAATGAAATAAGAAAATCTTCTCACAATTCGAAGACGAAAGAACAATGTGATGAACTGTATAAAATATTAAAAAAGAATTTTTTGATTGTAGTTACAAATTGTTTGTGATTAAATAGTTAAAAAAAAAATTAATGTATGAGAAGTAGCGTAAAAAGTGCGATGATAAGTAGCAACACGTTTATTTCATGACTTGAAATATAATAACTCATTATGAAATGCATTTTATAACTCTTACAAACTTTGAATATTTTTTGAACTTTTAATATAGTTTAATTAAAAGCAACATTTCTAGTGGTGAATAGAATTTTGCTTTAAGGCAAGTTGTATGAAGTTCTCGATATGTATACATCAACTTCATCAATAAGATATTGAAATCCAGCTTGTTAGGTAAAATGTTCTACTGTTCTTTATAAAAATAAATTTAACTGTTCTTTTTAAAAAATAACACATATAATTTTTATCTATTTCATGTGCTAAACATGTATTTTATTTATGTGTGTACGTCAATTATAATTAGTAGCTTACAATAAGTACGAAATACGAAACGTGTTTTTGGTTCGGCAAAGATTCTGATTAGAATCGCGCGGCGAAATTCTAAGGCTTCATAAATTTTTATAATAGAACCGCATGTCATAGGTCAATAATATTTTAGTATGTTATTTTAGACTTCGAAATCTACCGTTATGCAAAGGCTCATCAAAATAGTAAAAAAAAATTAAGATTTAATCATGAAGAAACGGCCCGGCCGATCTTTGCCAGAAACTAATCAGCACGTTTCCAACCAATCTTTCGATGAGGTTTTGAATTTTTAAAATCAATTTAAGATTGTGGGCTAAAATGTGTGTGAAAAAGTTATACACTTTCATGCTATTAGAATCACTTAGCTAAATTTTTATATAAATTACAACCTGTATATAGAGAAAGACATTGAGTAACCCAGTAGGTTTACCTTTTAATAATGTACTAGATTATGTCTAAATTTAGTTTTTGTATTATAAAGAAAAAAAAGAAAGTATAATATATATATATGTATATATATATATATATATATATATATATATATATATATAATATATACAATTATAAACATAGTTCATTCCACAGACTACACATACACATACACACATTTACCATAGGTAATATGGTGAAATTCAGTAATATGTTAAATTAAACTAAATGTGCATATTTTTACGATTCAAATTGTCTAGTTGAATTATATTTAAAAATATATTGGCAATCAAAACATTTTTAAAAATCCGGAACAATCCGGGATAAATCACCCAAAACCGGGACAAATATTGCTTGCGGGACGCAAGGCGGAAAATCGGGAATGTCCCGGCCAATCCGGGGCATATGGTCACCTTAATTAAATGCCTTCTTTTTAGTCTTATAATATAAGTGGTGTTATGAAGACTAGCTATAAGTTCATTTGGATTTTGGTCAATTTTGAATTTGTAGTTAAGGGCACTCCTTTTAATTATTTCTCTGATGACGACAGTATCGGTGTCTTGATGAATCAACCATATACTACTATATCATTGGCCAATTGATGCGAAAACTACATAAACGTTAGTCTTTATTGAGTTTTTAAATTTTGGGCATCAGTCCAAGCGTTGAGAAATCGTCGACGAAAGGTCAAAAATCGGCTCACACATACTTTTTCCAAATTTAGTCTCCAACGATTAAGAATAACTTGAAACGTCAAAAAACATGAAATTTTGCGCAAAACGGATTTTCTTGCAAAAACAAAACTTCACCTTTGGTAAGTTAATAAGTGGATATTATCTTAAAGCTGTGGGCAATCATTTACAACGTAATTACCTAGAACTTCCGCTGGATCCATGTCTGTTACTCCTTATGGGTGGCGGCGGTTGTGTCGTGACAGGAACAATAGTTGTTGTAATTAGTGAGTTGTTGGCACTGGCATTGATGCTTGTAGGTATAGGAACACGAAGGCCTGGATGAGTCTTCAGGCAAAACGATAAGACTGATGTAAATATGAAGAACACTGATATCACGGCTACTACCTGAAATAATAATAACAGAGATGAAATTAAAGAAAATATTCGATAAATATAGATAATTGAATTATTTAGTTCGTGTAGACGTTTGGTGCTCTACTGCTTTTTGCACCAGAATTTAGAAGATATAAAAAATTATGGCTAATTAACTTTATGCAATAAATTGTATCTAATAGTGATAACCCATTGGGGTTACTACTATCGATAATCATATGCAAATAATGAATATTAAAATATTTTATAGAATTTATTTATGCTTTGAAAGTTATTAATAAAAAGAGAAAAGAGACGTTAACCGGTTATTAAGAATGTATTTCTTGTATTCTTGGGGTATTCTAGTATAGGCATCAATTTCATAAGAATTGTGAAAGGCCGTGAAAACAAAAACATTATATTTGCTATTCATTTTTTATTAATTGTTAATTAATGTTTTCATCATACAGAAAAAAACAAAAATTAAAAACTGTCTCAAAATTGGCACGTGACCATACCACTTGTTTTTAGCTCCCCTTATAATCCTAATAGAAAACTCAAAAGGTTTATTTATCTAGAACAATGTCACATTCGTGTGAACTACGGACAAGTTAGAAATAAATCACAAAATACCGCCTGCCGAAAAAAAAATCACAACATTTCGATATTATCAAATTAGTAATTAATTAGTAAAAATCAAAACTAATCTCAAGTCTAATTAGTAAAAATCAGAAATAATATCAAACTAATAATTAAATAGTAAAAATCAAAACTGGGTGATGATCATTTCATACTGGTAAAAAGTATATAGAGAAAACACTAAGAATTTCAAGTAAATTGATCCAGTAGAAGTTGAAAAAATGTGGATATCTTTTCGAAAAAGACAGTTTCGAAAAAACGCGTTTGAAGTTTCGACGAGGATTATTGTTATCAAACAGCTACTCATTTTTTAATACATCTCCGATAATAATTTAAATTTTGAAAAATCTTCTGATACACATATTCTTGAATAGTTAAACTTTGCAAACAAATATTGTTATATACAAACTAAAAGTTGATTAACATTTAAATTACAAAAATTTATTTATTTCACTATTTCACAATAATTAACTGATATATAACTGATAGCATAACTGATTATTATTTAAAATGAACTTTCATATATAATATTCGTAAATGAGACACTTGTGCACGATTTTGTAAAGATTGGTAAGGATATTTCTCATCCCATGTAGTGATCTTGCTTCTTATATTATTGATAAAATATTTCTATTCGCAGAATGGACCTTTCAAGTTTTTTGTTTGGTTTTAAACAGTAATCAGAATTCTAGTAATTTATTATGTTATTTTTATTTATATTTATTGTGTTATTTATTTCTACTAATAACTTATTATAATTTGAAGATTTTTATTGATCAGACGTTATTGATCTATATTTTCCAGCAGAAATAGATATCACTACTGCATGCAAGGAGTACTTTGTTGTTCTTTCAAATATATAGGGCATTATATTACATTTTTATAACAGTATACATAATTTCTATAAAATTGGTTTGCGAAGTTTCGATGTGTCAATTTTGATATGGAAGCTATACCACGTTTAGAAGTGTTGACAAAAGTTAACACGCAAGTTAGAAAAAATAATTTTTTAAAATGAATTGAAGATATAATGTTCTTCTAAAAACACACTATGAGAAAAAATTTAATAGCTTTGTTTGACTTAAGATTTTATTCGTTACAATTTTATGTTCTAACGAAGATATCAAAATATATCGTATTCCGAAATATTACAAAATAAAAATTATGCCGATCGGGAAATATGATATGACAGAAAGAAAATAAACAAGTTATAAAAAATCCATTTTTCGTGAACCAGAGGTAGTATATTTTACACATTTACTTTTTATGAAATCACTGTTTCGATATAATAGAAAACCGGGTTGAAATTTCAAGCTTTATAGACAATGTGGCATAAAAAGGCTTAAAAATATAAACTCTAACTTGAAATAAAATCAGTAACTGAATCAGTTACTACACTCAAATAATAATTTATGCCTCGTTTATTCAAATCACAATATTTTTGCTATCATCTATATTAATTTCAATATTATATCGAAATATTATAGGCAATATTAACGTAAATATATCAATTCTTCTCTACATACAATTTTATAACAATTTGTTTACATTTTGAAAGATGCAATTTTGGAATTTTGTTATAAAAAAAATTAAAATCAAAAGATGGAATCATAATAGTTGTGTCAAATTTCTAAATGGCAAAAATAAATCTAAAGATGGGTCCTGCCCAACTATAATTGCATGCAAATACATTGTAAGGAACATTTGATATATTTTGATAAGGACAAAGAACAATAAATGACTAACAGAATAAATAAACTACAATGTTGTCGATGAATAATCAAATATACTGCGCAATTTATATGTTGGCTGTTTAATATATAATTAATAATAATAAATACGAACAAAGCACGTAATAATAAATTAAATACTTAATGTCATTCTTTTATATACAATAATGTATTTAAAAAAAAATGACTTGATGAAAATTGGACATTGAAACTCAATAAATGCTTGTTATGTGATTTGAATGTGGTTTCATTTAATAACAAAATTTTCCATGCACTGATGCAAAGCCGATTTCATTGAAAAAGTTTTCATCAATTGCAATGTTTAATTTTTTTCATTTTGCTATTCCAAAAGTGACTTAAATGCATAATATAAAGTCGTTTTGTCTTGCTAAAATTTTCTCTGGCTTAGTTAGAGATCAAGTGATATAAATTAGTGTCATATAAAATTATAATTGGAAACACTGTAGGAGCGACTGTGTTAACAGTGATAATTAATTACCTGTGTGCATGTGAAATTTATTATATGATGAAACCAGATATTATAATTAACACTGTAACTATCATAATATCTACTTGTTAATATCCTACAAAGTACGTTAATGAAATCATGAAAAAACTCAAACTGAATAGTTATATTTTTTATATTTTATGTCTTTATGTTTGGAGACATGAAGTTTTTAGGATGCTTTGGAGAAAATTCATGTATGATTAGTATGCATGTATGTATGCATGCATAATAGGGTGGTCCTTAATATGGATATTTCAGAATGTTGTCGATCCCTGTTGATGGATGTTTTAGCTTTTAATATTAATTTTAAGATAGTTCGCACTCCAGCCAAAGTTTTTTATGGTCATGGAGGTAACATGAGAAAAACTCCATATGTTTTTTAGAATTTTTTAACTTAGCGACAAAATAGTATTTTTTTTAAATTATGGATTATTATTTATCTGCATATTATTCATCAGATATTACAATATAACCATAATGTATTTGCTCTCTAACAGTAGTTACTTAAACAGAAATTATATATATATATATATATATATATATATATATAATATTACGAATTGAAAAAAAAATTATGTAATAATTGCGATTTTGATTTTTGCATATTGATCATACTTTTTTTAGATCACAAAATGTATAATTTTAAATTTCAATATTTATTTCGTTCAACGTGAAATAAAAGCAATTATTTCAATTTAAAACTATTGGTTGGTTTTAAATTTAAAAACAATATTTAGTGTGACTTGATGAAATATTCTTATCATCAAAACTTAAAAAAATGATTTTATTAATGATAATAAATATTTCGATTTTTTTTTACTCCTACTTGTCTACCTTAAAATGACCCTTTATGCGGTTGGAAATGCAAAACATTTTCTATGCTAAAGCTATAGAACATCTTCTCTGTGTTTCAACTTCTCAACTTCCCAAAGGAGAAGTTTATTTTTTTACTACGAAATCGGATTTGCTCGACTTTTCAAGTGATTCTGAATTATTTGTAACAAAAAACTGTAAAAGGTTTGTTTGTGTATGCATTTCACCGACTATTTCTCTAAAACTACTGAACCAATTTCAAAACTTCAGACAATTTAGATATGATTTGGATAGATTAGTTTTACGCGAAGATTAATTTAGTCGAGCCATTTCTATTTAATTACGAGTTAAATACTCAATTGTTTGTGATCGTTTACAAAAATCTTGAGAATTCAAAAACTCTCGAAAGATAGTTAGAACGATTAGATTTTGATAAGTTGAAATGAAGAAGAGAAAATTAGAATTTCAGTTTTGAACTCCGACTATTGATATAAAAATAAATTTATATTAAATTTTCCAAGTTTCGGAACTAAAAACATTATTTCATCAAAATATCAAAATATTTCTGTATCCCCATTTGTCTCAATAATAGTTTTACTATAATCAATATCTATGTATATTAGCATATCTATTTTAGAAACAATCTAATTAGCTATTATTACCATTTGTCATAATAAGTATAAATTTTAATGATAAAAAGAGATGCAAATTATTTTGATCTGCAGTTGTATCATATTTCACGGACATATTAAATATAAATAGAAAACATTTTCAACATCATTAATTTAAATGTGCTTGGTTTATAATTAATATTCATTTCTCGTGGATTAAAGTAGTATGCGTTTTACTTCTGCGACTGCACTGCGTTTTACTTCTCCGATCATATTTTATGTTTTAAAACGTATTCATAAAAAGTACTATTAATAAATAATAAGCATGTTTTTATTATGGCCTTGGAAAATATATTTTTTAATTTAGTTTTTGATAAAAATTAGTTTAATGACAACGATAATTGGTCATAAAAAGATAAATTTTATAAATTTGATTACAAATCTCACGTAATGCAATTAGACTTTTTACATCTGTTATTTTTTATGGGTTTCTATCGGAAATTTAGAAAATAGTTTATTTGCGTTATCAAAATTGTGAAATTCTAATTCATACTCTTTATGCACAAACATTTTCAAAACATTTCAAGATTATTACAAATGACGATTTTCTTGTAAAATTTTCAAAATTTCAATAATCTAATGATCTAGAAAAATTCAAAATTTTCAAAAACGTCGATATTTTTCACAATTTCCAAAAAAATTCATAAACTTTAATACTTAAAAAGTCAATTT